AGGTCACAAACTAAATGATCATGCGAAACAGTAAGAAAATGTAGGTAATCTCCATGATACTCAAGGCTGAGATCTGCCTTTCAAGACAGTCTTCCATTGTTATGATGCACACAGCACATCTCCCAGGGTAACCGTGCTTCACATTTTGATAAGCACTACCAAGTTCACTCAGGCAAGCATAGTTGACCTGTAAATGCTATGACAAACAAATCAGAAATTGGTGATGACTGTTTAAGCTCTGGTTAGGTTTTGTCTGGTCTTACTTCTACAGTGTGTCATCAGGAAGATTTCCCTTGTTTCTCAGAGACTGCTAGGTTAACCTGGGGCAGAAATGTTCATCCACTGATGGTAGTAAAATAGGGCTTCTTTCTTATCTTCTGAACTGGAAAACAGGATCTCTCTCTCTCTCTCTCTCTCTCTCTCTCTCTCTCTCTCTCTCTCTCTCTCTCTGTCTCTGTCTCTCTCTCTCTGTCTCTCTCTCTCTCTGATTCACTCTGTCTCTCCCTGTCTCACTCTCTGTCTCTCTGTCTTCCTCCCTCCATCCCTTTCTCACTCCCTCTCTCTTCCTATTTTTTTGCTTCTGGAATATTAAGTTGTAAAGAAGATGCAGTCGGTCAGCTTTGTCACTCAATGATGAGCGCCCATCTGAAAATGTCAACATAGTAGTGAGAAAAAGAAGAAGGGGAGAGAATGGAATGTGAGAGCAGAGGCAGAGAGGGACTAAATATGATAAAGGAAAGGACTAGTGAATAAACAGTGCATACTGTGCTGACAGTACATACTCAGGAACTTGTGAGTGATGGAGTCTTTCCTTCCTAGCTGTGATCTCTCCAGAAAAGCAGTAAGAGGAGAACCCATGCTCTTCACCCATATTAGTTCTCAATGAAAAAACAAAAACAAAACAAAACAAAACAAAAAAACCAATAACACCGTTTGCTCCAGACTCTGTTAATCCTCAGAAAATGTTAATAAGTTTCTGTAAGCAGTTTCATTCTTGAGTCACATTCCTACTGTCCTGAGTAAACTTTATATGCAGTTCTTTATGACAGTATTGGGACTGAAAATTCATATTCTTGTAGAAGTGAGTCTTCCTTACAAACGTCATATCTGGTAGCCTCAGAGGCAAAGAGCAAAGAATTTCCTTGCAGAGTAACCATGACATAAGACGAGGATCATGTTTTTAATCTTGTAAGAAAAAGATGGTCTTTTTTTTTAAAATCAGCAATTTGGCTTTTTCAGAATTAATTGATTACATTGTTTTAAAATATATTGAATCATAAAGTTGGATATGTGTGAATGTGCTTGAAATCATATAAAAGGTGATTACTTTTGATTTGAAATACTATGAACACTGTGACAATTATGTCTAATTGTCATAAAAATAAAATTATCTGTGACCTATCCACGTAAGCTGTTATTTTTACGCAATGCAATAGGTGGGCCTCACTAGAATGGGTCCTGTGGAAACAAAACACAGTTTTTATATCGTAAGATACAATTTCCTTGAGATTTTATTAATCATTTACTTTTTAATTGAAAAAAAAAGTCACCACAAAAAAATGAGAGTACAAAATTCTTCTAGAAAGAACCTTAAAAGTTGACATTTCTTTGAACAATTGTACCCAGAAATCCTTTTTAAAGTACGTTTTCATTTTCTGGCATGGCTTGAATTGAATTCTAAACTTTGTGTGTCTGTCCTCTAAGCCCCTCTGATGAATTAAACAGGCTTCTCTATATATTTAGTACATTCATGGATTCTTTGTCGCAGAGCCTGCTCAGCTTCATTACTAGAGCTGTCTCGGAAGTCCAGCAGCCAGTTTGTTTTCTGCCATTAATAAAGAGTCTACTTCCCCCACCTCGACCTCTTTGAAGAAGTTGAAAGGGCTCCATGTTGGGTACAGGGGCACCAGGAAGAGAGAGATATAAAGGGAACTGACTGTTATAATCCCCCAAAGAACAACAGCAAAAAATATATATTGTCTAGTGTAGAAATTTTCCCCCAAGTTACGAATGCATAGGGTGGTTTTAGAATGATATATACCAAAGTAAGAATGTAGCCAAGATTGCTTCCCCTGCTAAGATTTGCAGGTCCACTACGAGAAAGACATTGTATCAAAAATCATACAAAGTCAAGGGCTTCACTTGGATACTGTTTCCATTCAACATTACTCTAACCTCTCATGGAGGAAGGAAATCAATCATAATATAAATATGTGGGCTCTTATATTTCACTTTTGTGTTTACAAAATATTCAGAAGATTTCAAGAATGACTTGTCAATTTGGATCTAAGTAAACAAAATCTCCAATTTAGAAACAAGGAAAAAGAATTCCACAGAAAATTCACTTGCTCACAGTTTGTCAGATACCAGTAAACAAAGAGGGAGAAAAATGGAAGGGGGAGACTGCTAACACTGCTTCTACAAAAGCTCCTCAAACATTATTGAACCAAAGGAGGACCCAAGGGTAACAATTCTTACTTACTTGGCCAAGCACATGCTATCCATGATAGGTGTTGTTCTTATTTGATTAGTAATTAACTATTAAGGGAACAAGGTTAAAAATCACATTAGTAATATCATCAATGGGGCAGATTTCCCACCATATCAGAATTATTCGTTTTGACATTGTCATAAGATATCTATGGAATTAGCTGATTGATGAGGAAACAATTTAATCTTAAATTAATCTTAATTACCTTCAATCTTCACCTCCTTTTAAACTTTCCACAGGTATAATATCATACTCAGCTTAACATGTAATATGTCTAATACGAATTAACATGGGAAAAGTATCACTTGATGAAAATTGACATTAATTTAGTAATAACACAGCATGGATGATGTTAGGAAGCTGCCTCAGTGTGTATAGTGTTCTCACTAAATATTTTCCAGAAATACAGAGTGATACACAGACATACAGACATATAGACAGACAGACAGATACACACACACACACATGTGTATTTGATCATTGATGGATAAGGAAACTCAACATGGAACTGACACATAGGTCAAAAAATAGCAACTGAATTTCAGCATACTAATTATGTATTTGCAGAGCTACAGGAAAAAACTTTATTTTCAGATGTTTACAAACTCTCAGAATTTCTTTTTTTTTTTTTAAAAAAAAACTCATCTATATTTGGAACCTTGTTTTCTTTTTCCAAATGCAGTCACTTAGGGATCAGTGGGATTTGAGTACTGAATGAAAAGTCAAGTAACAAATTAGACAAAAGAATTCAGGCATCAAAACTGTGCCTTCGTTTGCTGCCTGCGGACAAGGAGGCTGCAGTGCATGTGCAAATGGCAAGAAAATTTGGGCTTCAGCTCCCCCTTTGTGTGGTGCTTTCCTATAAACTCATCCAAACATGACAGCTTGCAAGGTCATTTGCATATATAAAATATATTAGCTCAAGGTTAGGCACGTGTATCAGCATGTCATTTTGAAGAGGAGTTTAAGATAAGCCCCACCTCTTCTAAGTTCATTAATAATTAATTTGTACTATAATTCCCCTAAGATACTTCTTCCTCCTTGGGATATTATTAAATGATTTAAAGAATGTCTAAATGTCTCTATGCCTCTGTTGTGTCAGTGGAAGACTGAAATGTTTAGGAATTTTAAACTGAGAACGGTATTGATCTCATGAATTCTAAAAGAAAATATAATCATATTAAGATCTGGCAAAATTCCAGAATGGCCTCCTTGATGGATTCTAAAATGCTTTAAACATTGTCATGTAGAAAAAAAAATCCATGTTTCCCTTGAAAGAGATCTAAAGCTAAAATCACAGGTATCACAATATTGTCAGAGGCACACAACAGAGACAAAGGAAAACTACTATTTCATTAGTCTGCAGTAAATGGTTAAGTTGAGTAATGATTTTTATTTCTAAAAGGAAGTTGGAGTTGACAGTAATTTAGCAAACAATATAAGGAAGAGAGAGAAACAAGCAGGGGTTAGTCTATGTACTTGGAACAGTGACTTGCTACTTCAAAATTAAACTGTACAAATAAGCTGGTGTCAGAAGAGGTGATCCCTCATTTCCAACACACTGAGCTCATTCCAAGCTCACATGGGCAGCAGACAGCTCTTAATGTATGCGTCTGGTTCAGGCTGCTCTCTCTCCCAATTCAGAAGCCATCGGATTGTTAGGATCACTGCTTTTTGCATGCAACCCACATCATCCTCTCATTCTTTGTTGTTTATCTTTTTGTTTATTTTAAGCTTAGAATGATCTGGTTTTCCAAGTCACCTTATGAATCCACAGAACTGCATCATCTGGTGACAGCTGAGAGAGAAATGAAGAGAGAGAGTCACATCCATCCACATATAGCATAAAATAGCTTATAGAAACAAAGTCTGACACACACACACACACACACACACACACACACACACACACACCTTTATGGATTAAGACAGAAGCTTTCTGAGTAGTATTCTCACACAACATATGCTTTGCACAGAGACTCTTCAAAGTTGCAAGATATATGATACATACATACATACATACATACATACATACGTTGTTCAGTAGACCTGAAATTTATTTTGGTATTTTTCTCTCATGAAATATAAGTTAGTATATAGTGTAGTTCATTAACATAGCATAAAAAGAAAATCTCTATATTAAAATTTTCTGCTGTTGACTATTATTCCCTACTTCCTTTTGGATTTCAACTGATGAAGCATCACGTGTGTATCATATATGATTATTGTAACACAAGTGTCATTAAACACACTCCTTTATACGGTGTTTTGTTCAGTAGAACAGCTCTGATCAGTTGTGTAAAGCTTCTATTAAATGGAATCAAGTTTTTGTGATGCTTGCAGACACACAGGCATAGAGTTCTTTGTGCTGGAAAAGTTCTGACTTTTAAAAAATAATCTGTTCCAAAAAGAATGAAGTTAAAAGAAGTGAAAGATAAATACTAGTAATAATAATAAGAAACCTGCCACTATTCATATTTACTCCTTTTACTTGGAGTCGTACAGCATGTTTATACACACAGACACTGAGATTTCAAAGCTTCTTGATAAATGGCAGGGGTGAGGCCAGGAGAGAATCTGAAAAGACACAACATCATCACACACTTAAACATAGTCCCTGTTTATGATATTCTTATACTATTTCTAGGGAACAATAAGGATACTTTGTATTGTTAATATTTCAAGTTATAAGTAATAATAACAAGCTCAACGAAAACAGAACAAAGACTCCACATGATATCCTAAAATAGATTCACAGATTTATTTAATAATGGGGAAAACAATTTATGGTGAAGCATTAGAGTTAAAACACCAAAGTCACTCTCTTCTGTGTTATGAAAAGCCATCTTACTTTAAGCCTTAATTTCTGTAATGTTGCTATAAACTTGGAATAGATTTATTGATTATAGATTAAAAAAACACACGTTTGATGTGTCATTGACCAACACACAGTCAAGTAAGTCACACAGGCTATGGTTTGAGTATTTACTTCTGGTAATGAAAATTCTGAACAGAGCCTGCATCTCAGATGCGTTTTACATGTGAACTAGAGCATCCGACTTCATAGGCGTTCTCTAATGCTTTATAACACACACAAAATGAAATATAGAAATTCAAAAGCACTGTATTTTCCCTAAATATAGACTTTGTGAATCTCAGAATAAGGAAAATTTTCACAAATATGTGCTATTGTGTGTGGGCAAAAGTCTAAGGAGACACTGGCTAAACCTACCACGTATAAAACAAAATTCTCTCATGTTAGTATCAACAAGAATAGGATCAATAGAGAAAACTGCAAATCGTTTCTTTTTCAGGCCTCGAGTATTATTAGAACCTTATATTACGTATTCTAAGCCACAGTTCTATGGAGGCATGAATAATTTACTGAAATAACTAATGTATATAATTCTATGCATACAAAAACTTATGAATATAAACAACTCTCTTACAATGTAGAACAGATCCTCTTCTTAGTCATCTTAAAATACATCCAAAGCAATGTTTTTAAAACACTTGTGTTTTAGTTTTGCTTCTTATATACATGTCTTATAATACCTTTATATGATGATCATAGTAAATACAGACGGTATTTTAATATTACTGTGCTATATCTTTAGAATACAGTTTCTGACAATTGTATTTTGGGGGTGGGTCATGGTGAAACCCTTGCTGATTAAAAAGAAAACCATTGTTCTTTGCTCCTAGGCAGAATCTATGTCTGTTCTTTTGTTCTGGTGGTTTATGCCGAGAATCAATAAGGTCCAAAGCTGCTGGTACCCCTCCGCCTAGGTCCCAAGAGCCTGACTTGTGATGTTACTAAAATACCTCACAAGTTAGGGTCTCAGGGACTAGGAAAAGTCTGGTTTGATGCAGAAGAATTCTTCTTCCAGTGAAAAGGACAGCTTAGGATTTAGAGTTGGGTTCAGTCTTATTTTTCTTTTTTTTTTAATCTTCAAAGTACGAATTGAAACACACAAATAGAAACATTAGTAATACATGAAAGTCAAGATGCGCTGAATAATCAGGATGACCACTTATAGATTAGAACTTACGGTAATGCGGAATATGAAAAACAAAGCAGACAATGGACAGTTAAGAAGCATCCTGTTCTATCCAAAGCAGGAGACAGAAAATGGGTTAAAATCTGCTGCTCACAGATTTTTACAGCAACACCCACTTCTATTATATTAGAGAAGGATTATATGCCAGTTAATGGGATCCTAATTGATATTTTGCTTCTATTGCAGTTTAATATATCACAACTGTTACAGTTAGGCCCAGGATATACAACACTTAAAATTCTCATTTAAATGTATAACATTACAGTTAAGATTTAAACAGAAACTTTTTATATGTCATAATTTAATATCCATTAATGTCGATTTTTCTCTTTCAATATGCGAACTATTCAGACAGCAAATATTTTCATGCACACTCCATAGTTATTTGAGCAAGACCACCTAACAAGCATGTTACTTAAAATCCTGGCAACATAGTAAGAAAAAAAAAGATTCTTTACTTTGAATAATTACATTATAAAGTTTACTACTTTTGAAAATACACAATCTTAATCCTGTATATTCATCAAATTCTCTCCCATCTTTTAGCCTTGTTGTGATTCAGGAGCAGAATCTGTATTTTAGGAATGATGTAAGGTTTAGTAGCACAGAATGCAGGGCACAACAACCACACTTAGCACAACATAAAACTCCTAGCCACATAAGTGGAATCTGATTCTTCAAAAGTGGTGGATCTTAAAAGGGAAAAGAGGAGGTTAGAAAGAAAAGAGAGAGAGAGAGAGAGAGAGAGAGAGAGAGAGAGAGAGAGAGAGAGAGAGAGAGAGAGAGAGAATGGAAAGATTTAGAGATTTAGAGTGTTTTCCTCTAGGCAGGTGAATCATCCATTTCCAGGCAAGCTGCAAGGAAAGCTAAGCTGAACAAAATATTTGCTAAGTGTTCCCCTCCCCCACCCTAGTACCACACCCCTTTCTAACCACCCACCCCCCTTCACCCCTGCCCAGATCTTTACTTTGCCTTGTAAGACTTAAACATTCTGTTCCGTGATGTAATGCATCCTTATATAAGATCTCTTTCTGTTTATCATTTGATTTCCCATACTGAATCACTTATGGCCCCAGATAAATAGTTTTTAAAAAAATCCAAAAGAAACAACCAAAGAGCAGCATTCACAAAAAGCAAAAATAAAATAAAATAAAATAAAATAAAATAAAACAAAACAGTACTTAGATAAAAGTCCATGCTTTTCCTTAAAACTGAATATGGCTTTACAATTTTTGACCATAGCATTCAACCAATTATTAGAATGAAAAATCTCACCCCTCCATAAATATGACATTAACATAATTATACCACCCCCATCACGGAGACCCATCCTCCTTAGGGAATACATCTGATGCTCCAAAGATGGAAATCAGTCAGATTTTAGTTGCTCTCCAACGTACCTTTGCTTCTCACTGACTGACTGGCTTTTACCCTCCACGCACTCACACGCCACCCCCTCCCCTCGGCTAGACACGGATGCCCGAGCGAGCACGCGCGCGCGCACAGGCACACAGACACACGGAGAGTCGGACTAGCATCTGATGCTGACTCAGAGCGCTTCTGTGTGCAAGGGGTGGCGGCGGCGGCGGCGGCTGGTATTTTCACTGCGCTCATCATTAACATTAACGCACAGTCTGGCATCCACCCTCTCCCAGACCTGCTGGACTGCGGCATTTGCATGACGCTGTCACTCTAGCCTCTGCAGGTCAGATGATGGAAGGAAAGGGGGAGAAAGAGAGAGAAAGAGAGGGAGAGAGCTAAGGAAAAAAAAAGCCTCGAGACTCTTCTAAGAAATGCCTTCATTTCGTCCTTATTTGTCCACCTTTCTACTTCCTCTGTGGCTGTTTCTCAGCTGTTTGACATCTTCCCGGAAGAAAATGCCTTGTGCTTCAAGGAGCCAGTTGCCAGTTAGTGATCTCCCCTCCCTCCAATCCCCACCCTTTTCCCTGCTAATCAATAAGACAGATCTGCAAGAGCAATGTGGAAACAGACTCAGGCATGGTCTCGCCCGGGTCCCCACCTAAGGAAGCAGTCAAGCAGGCTCACACACTGCGACACGGGGGGGAAAAACAAAACAAAACAAAACAAAACAAACAAACAAAAACCCCGGCAGTTTCTTAACAGCCTTAGACTTTATTCTGCGGTTTCGTTTTCTTTTTCCCTTTGACTGAAGAAAGAGCAAAAGAGAATCTATCTGTTTTTGTGTGAAGACCCCACCCAGCACCAGACACCCACACACCCATAGGGCCGGGTGTGTAGAGATCAATCCTTTTAAGTAAAATAAATAAATAAAAGATAGATAAAATAAATAAAAAATTAAAAAGCTGGGATTTTAATCGAAGTTATAACCTCATGTTTTTATTAGCTATGTCCTCATTTCGTAGGAATTAAAAGACAAGACTTGCCAAGATCTGACTCATCAATGTGATTTAAACTGTGTTGAAATGCTAACTTGGAATGAGATCGACTGACTGGATATTAGTATATTTTTTAATTTTAAAGACTTTTTAAGAATAATAATAATAAATGACTGTTAGTGAATAGGTATGTCACAGAAGTTTTCTGGTTCCGCATATTAATGATTGAATACGTAGATCTAAATAAAAGGTGGATCCCTGTGCATCTGTACACTAGTACTAAAAGAGCTAAAACATTTGGCCATGATTGTGCTGGTGCTTCACAACATACAAGGCACCATTTTCTTTGTTCTTCAGTCGCTCCCTGTGATGACAGTGTGGTAAACTGTTACCTTCCCTTTCTACACTAGCAGTATTTTTTAATTACTTGCTGGGCAGAACTAGCTATTGGTGACTGTCTAGTACATACAAAAATAAAGGCATACAAAAGGGAAGCAGATATCACCATACTCCAGCCAATGCTGGCTGGTGCTCCAGATATGTCAGTTTACTCTCACAGACAATCCCAGCATGCAATGCAGCCCTGCAGGACCAACTAAGGTAGCAGTTTGGCAACAGATTCGTGGGCAACAAACGCGAAGGACAACCAGCTGAGGTTCCAAAGAAAACATCACACGATCCATAAAGAGATGCAAGTAGAAATCAGCTCTTACAGGCTTCTGATTTGAAAGAACAAGGAAAAGGAAACAGGAGTGGGCTGGAGTGGGCTGGGTGGTGGGTGGGTGAACAGAAAACCTCAAGCACAAAGACCGGCCGAAAAAGAAAAGGAAAAAGAAGTGGCCACCAGACGGAAACAGAATGTTGAGTGCATACTCCCAGGAGAAAGAAAAAAGGGCAGGAAGGAAAAGGATGGGAGAGGTAGGAGGAAAAAGAGATGGAATAGAGATCTAGAGGAAGAAAGACAGGAAGGAACAGAGCCACCATGTCGTTAATCGCTACAAAGAATATGAAGTACTATTTCTGAGTCTGGAGACTGCGAATGACTCGAGTTCAGAATCGGATGAAAAGTTGAAATAAAGACAGACATCCACAGGTTAGCTTAGCACACGTATTTGCCAGTATCAGCAATAAGCCTGCAGAATCTGTCCTGTCTGATACG